GGACTCCAAAAAGTAGAGTTAAACAGTTGTTTTTCCATTTCACAGGGTAATAAGTAACATTATGATACTTATTGAATCAACTATGCTCACCTCGGGTGCAACTGCATTTGGGTCCTTTATTCTGCTTCTAATAGTTTCTGTCAAGTGATGGGTCAGCCTTGTAAAGCCTAAGCAGCTACATCATAATGGTAGGAATATATCTTAAAATGGAGAGATCTGAAAACCACAGAATTATATATCTAGTGGAGCTAGGCTCTAAATAACATACTGGTGTTCCAAGAAGTAAAGTTTTGCTTTTCTCTGTTCAGCAAAGTTTGTTGTAGCAGAAAGTTCATTTCAGCACCTCCTTTTTCCTTTCTCCTCCCAGGAGTTGACTTGGTCTTGGTTATAACTTTCAGTTCTAGTGTGGAGCCAAGCAGGTCTTCAGACTGCTACTAAGAAGAATCTTCTGTTTTGTAGACAAGATGGGCCATCTTGTCTAGACCCTGCATTTGCCGAGGAAGGTTTGACGAGATGATGCTTGCAGTCCTTTCCAACCTGGTATTCTATGACATTTTAGATAGTTAATTCTTAAGAAATAGAATTTCAGAGTTGATTTTTTCTTGAAAATTTCATCAGCTGCTATTAACAAACCTGAGACTTTAATGTCTTTTGGTTTATCAGTGAACCAACATTATTTAGAAACTGTTTAGTCAGTATGATAACACTTAGGTTTTCAAAATAAAATGAAGATGGTGTTTCTGCTTAAAAAAACCTTAGTGACTTAGTTTAGCTACTTGGCTGATTTCCCAAAAGCAGTACTCTTTAACTGAAGTCTCTTCATTCATTGTTATAAAAGAGGAGGAAAAGGGTAGAAGCACAAACCTAAGTCCATTTGGTTAATCGTTTGCCAGTGTACTAGTTCCTGTTAAATGATTGCTCAGCCTATGCCTGTTATCGCTATGTCTTCTTGTGAACAAGGACCTTACATGTCCATCTTAATTACGTGGTGTTTTTTTCTCTTGGTTCACCTCTTCATGCCATGATGGAACAGTATTTCAATGGGAAAGATGCATGTGCTGGCAACTGTGAAGCTTCTGAGTTGAAGTAATTTTTTTGCATGTAATGTGATGTACACACAGAGAATTAAAGACTGTAGTAAGTATTATAAAAGGTGTTAGGTGTTAAAACCATCTGAAAAGATGTTCCAAATTTTTTTTTTTAAATTTTTTAAAGAGATATAAGTATTAGTATATTCCACTTATAATTACTCTCCAGTTCTCATACATACATGCTTCAGTTGTTTTCTCATGTATATTATATAATTATACAAGTTTAATAGGATGGATATTTTCTGGTAAATTAAAATACTTAAAAAATAGGCTTCATAGAAAAGCTTTGTGTGAAAGTATCTATAAAATCAGTCATTAGATATATTTAATAGCTGATTATAGAGGCATATTCTCCTGAATTACCTTGCCTGTCAGAGATAAAATGCTTGATTACATTTGTACCTTTGCTGTTATCAGTGATGCCAGTTCTTATGTACCCTTGAGAAATTTAGTGATAAAATCCTCTAGTTAGAATGAGTTACCATGATGCATGGGTTTAAGTTCTCATGAAGCATGACTGAGTTATGATGTATGCATGAATTGTGCCAGTTCAGTAGCAGCATTGTCTATATAGGAGCGACGGTGCATGTGTGCATGACTGAACACATTTGAGGGAGGTAAGAAGTGACAATCTCTTAAAACTACTTGGAAGGCAAATAGTAAAATTTAAGAAATTTTCACTATTGCAGCAACTACTGTTCCAAAGATATAAGTTATCCATGAATAGAAATTGTCAAAAAGGACAGAGGCCTGAATAAACAGGAACTAAGAATACGTTGGCACCTTTGCATTATATTTTCCACGTATCAGTTGTAGTGGACATGAAGAATAGCAAGTACCCATACTTTCTATAAGTTTGCAATCCAACTTGATGTAAAATAATGGAAATGTTTTCAGTTTCAAAGCTGACAGGTAAAACTGTGAAACATTATTTATATTCCTACCATAGTTAATAGCTTCATACTGATTTTTCAGGTTTCAAATATAGGTAGATGTAAAAAAAGATGGAGCGTGAAAGCTTTTTCATAGTACTTGAAACATATCAGTACTTCTTAAAAAGGCTGGATTAGATTGTTAGGAATGATGAGCAGTCTCTGAGGCTAACATTTGTGTTAATACAACCTTAGATTGCTCTGTTTGGAAAGCAGAATGTTTACCAGCTTCCTGGCCTCTCAGCATTCAGGCATTCTTCCTACTGCTGTGGGCTGTGTCTGGTATCCTGATTTTGTCACTGATTTTATAAAAAAAGCAAATATATATCTTTAACAATATTGCAGAATGATTTAGATGTATTTCATAATTTTCTCTTTTGAAGCAGAGTGTCACAAATAATTCTGCTGGTGAATACTGTAATTCAGTATGGAATCTGCAGATGGAGCTGGTGGTACCTGTGTGTGTAGCGTCAGTCTAGGAAACGGCCTTTTTGGTGTCCTGTTTTGGATACTAAACATTGCTTTGTTGCATGTCATATTGTGGGACAGTACTTGTGGAGCTGTTAGAACAATCCAAATCTTCAAAAGGCTGTGTTTAGTCAGCCAAAATACATGTACTCCTTGTCAGTCTTTGATTTCAGAAGTATTACTGTATCCAGCTTGAGGCTCCCCAGTAAAAGAAAGAAATGGACATACTGGAGAAAGTCCAATAAAGGGTTGTGGAAATGATGACGGGACTGGAGTATCTCCTATGACAAAAGGCTGAGAGAGGTGGGACTGTTTATCATGGAGAAGTGAAGGCTCAGGAGGATCTTAGGAATTTATATAAATACCTGAAGTAAGAGTACAAAGAAGAAGGAGCCTGGCACTTTTCAGTGGTGGCTACTGACAGGACCAGAGGCAGTGGGCACAAACTGAAACACAGGAGGTTCCTTCTGAACATCTCAAAACGCTTTTTTTACTGTGTGGGTGACCAAGCACTGACACAGGTTGCCCACAGATGATGTGAACTCTCCTTCCATACTTGGAGATATTTAAAAGCCACCAGAACACAGTCCTGGGCACCTGGCTCTAGGTGGCCTTGCTTGAGTACAGAGGTTGGACCACATGGCCTCCAGAGGTCCCTTCCAACCTCAGCAGTTCTGTGATTTATAGTACATTATCCCACAATTTTACTTTGAATAGCTAAGAACTTCTGCAGCACTTGTTATTTAGCTACAACCTCATCTTCTATTAAAAATCTAATCCTTTGATTCCAGATAACTTTTTGGAGATAACGAATGCAGGTCTTTCAGCTGAATATCCAACTCAGTGAGACACAAGTTGTCATTTACTTCTAAGAGTTAGCCTTCTAAACAGATGATGTATTTTCATGATGAGACTCAATATGAGTACATTCTTTGAGCCTGTGACCCCAGACTTGTTCTTTAATTTTTCAGTGACGACAGACTGCAAGATGACTGTTGTTTTAGCTAAGAGGGTAGGAAAGGTGCAAGGTCTTGTATAATTTTTGTACACTCTGTTACTTAGTAACAAAATAACTCAACTGAACATTCTGTATTTCTGTATAATGTAGTTTTCAAGTTCCATCTGAACTAGGAATTCAGACTTTTTAAAATAAATGTTCACATCTACATGTTCCTTTGTAAGTGTATGTTTCAAGAGGGTATTCTGTTTTTATTCAGTAGGATTATGTATTTTATAATTTTTTTTTCCTTTAGCATACAAATGCACAGACAATTTTTCTTGCTTTTCTTATCCCACAAAGATTGTGGGATAGCAGACTATATGAAGACCTGTGGCAGAAATGGAAATGTGGATAGCACTTCACAAATGTAGATTATTTGAGGAGCACCTACCAAGAATGTAATTGTTTCAGAGATCTGCGGAGTAGCTATGTAGGATTCAATTCAGATTTTTATGAAATGCTATTCTGTAGGCTTCCAACTGTGATGTTATATTTGTAAAACAGTCCTGTCACCACTCCCTTCAGGACTCTAATTTCAGTCAGGTCATTGCCACATACGGAGGTAGCTGACTACAGCTGAATGTGTGCATGGACTAAGGTTTGAAGGAGACAGTAAAAACAATCTTTCCAATAGCTAAAACTCCTTTCAGTTATTTGTCCATCTGTACACTGGTAACCACACCTGTTAATTTTGGAGTCATGTTAATATGGATGTGGGATTGTGGAGATAAGAGATGCTCTGAAGGGTGGGAGATGAATTCTGTGTGTTTCAAAGTGGTCTAGCACTTTGTTTCCCAGCCTGAGAGGGCAGAGAAGTTGCAACATCAGATGACTGACTGAAAATTACAGAGTTCAGATGCTGGGGCCATGTGTATGCCCCCCAGTGTGGTAGATGTAGCATATAGACAGAACTTGACAGGATGTATGGTTCTTGATATGTAACATTCCTCTTTTGTTGTATAATACCTGAAATAAGACACGTGATTTTGAAAAAGTTAATGGTTTAATATGATTGTCCAGCTTCTGGAACAGTGAGAGCTGTCTGTGCATTTTGAGATCCCACGGTTTGAGTCTTCTCTTGTTAGCATGACAATGCCTTGCATCTATTCCCCTTGATAGTCATCTCCTTTCTGTAGCTGCTTTCCACTCTCACTGGGCTGCTTTCTCTTTTTCCAGTGTAAGAAGATGTTACCAATTTTCTATTTTCTATATACTAATTGCTTGTTATCTTTGATTTCCTCTTAGTCTAGATATTACTTCACCTGTTTTCATCCTTCTATTAAAGTTTTTTCTCTCCTCCCCCCTGGGCTTTTCCCTTTTTTTCTTGTTGGAAATAAATAATAGTTTTGTCTCTGTTTCTTTGCTCCCTTATAAGTTAATAAACAAATGAGGTAAAAATTTCTAGAGGCAGGAGAAGGTTATCATAGTTTTCATTGGAAATTGCAACATTTCAATAGGGAAGGCAAGTAATATGTATTCTCTGCTTTTTATTGCTGCCAACTACATAAGGATGTGACCTGAATTCTCCTGAAATACCATGTAAGTTTGCAGTAGTTTATTTTGTTGCATAGCTGCATAACTCTGCATACAATCCCTGCATGAGTTCCTAGTGTAAATATATTTTGTGCTTATACATTTTTCCTTAGGACTGTGATCCCTTAAGTATTGCTGTAACGTTGTGCATAATCCTCTCCTGGGTGAAAGTTCCAGAGGGAATTAGCCAGTTCATTTGCAGCAGCATTTCTTGATTTGAAAGTTGGGGGTTAAAGTAGTGCATGTTTAACTGCTGATTTTTTTGTCTGGTTATCTGTGTATTATCTCTGTTATAAGACTTGTAATGTATAAATATTGCTTTCTAGTGCTGGAAGAGACAACCATATTTGTATTTTTTCTATTTCAGCCCTTATTAATATCCAGTTCAAGGCTGTCAGGGCAAATTTAAATATATCAATAAAATCAGATAATTTTACCTTTTTTTTTTTTTGTGACTATTAAGGAAGTTAATTATGATTCAGATGAGTAAGGTGTGAAGATGGCATGGAACCTGTGCTACAGAAATGTCTAGGTCTTCCAGTGGAATCTGAAATTCTAGCATTGATAAGATAGGCAACTCAAAATGATGCTTTTAAGAATGACTGTTTTCCGCATGTAGCTGATAAGAAGTTTGAGAAGTCTGTTAAGGTGTGTGACTAGAGGAGAAAACAGTTGCAATATCATGCCCCTGACATGCCGTTCTCAGTTCAGGAAGGGCTCTTAAAGCACAACCAGAAAGAAGTGAAACTTCAGTGGTAACATTTTAATCCAGTAGCTCAAATGTGTTTCTGTTCCTTTTGAACATGGGATATTGAATTCTCACATTGGTGATTAAAACCTACTTCTTTGCTTACTACACATGTGAAAGCAAGTCTTTTGTTTTTCCTGGGACAGGAGAGTGCTAACTTTCTGGTTAAATCTGTGCTAAAAGAAATTCAAGGCCAACTGGTTGTTGTGGGTAGGGTGGGGAGAAAGACAAAAGAGGAGGACTGTGGCTTTGTAACCCATTTGCTGGAACATTGGATTTTAGGCCTTCTTCCAAGGACTGCTTTATGTAATTTCATTTTTCAGAATACCAGGTTCTTTTCTGCACTGTGGTGTGTCTCTGGGAGTAGCAACATGCCACCTAGCAGGTGTAGAGTATTAAAAGTGATTTAGGAGATGGTTCAGATTTCTGTCTCCACCAACTCAGAAGGGACTAGAATCATTCAATCACTATGTGAGGTCTTTAAGTTCTTATCTCTTTGGTAGTATCCTAGACAGCAAACCTCAAAGACCTCAACAGGTCATTTAGTCTGTATCCCAATCCTGGGCAGAATTTATTGTGCTCTAGAAAAACATTTTTCAAGAATGACATAACTCTCAAAGATCTCTCTTAAAATTTACACAAGTAATTTCAATTTAGGGAAATCCTCTTGATAATTAATGTTACATATAGTTTTGTCAGGAATCATCAGTGAGCTAGAAATTTTAATCCTATGTCTTCTTGACACGACTTCTCATCTATATCTCATTTTGAAGTCATTAGTATGCTTTTATTACAACATATTTTCTACTCAAATATTTGAAGCGTGTATAACAATTTGAAATCATGCTGTAAAAGCTTAGAAACAGTGAAATTTGTGAAAATAGTATAAAGAATTAGATAAACAATAGTAATACATCAGTTGAATTCAACATTTGCTAGTGAAGATTTATGCTGGGGGTGGGGAGGGGGGGGATAAAGGAAAGGAAAGAAGAAAAAAAAAAAGATGGACAACCAAATTGGATTTAAAGAAAGATTTGCATGGTTATGGTCTTCGTCTGCATCATAATTAGAATGATTCCTGCTAATATGTTATCAAGCCTATGCTGTTGTTTTAAGTGAAATTCTTGTGACAATGTTTGAATAATGAGAAATAAATTCAGCTTACATAATGCATTTGAGAGATCCTATTTCTATGGATTGTTTTCTGAAAAGAAAGAATAAACCACACTTTCCAGCAATGTTAATGCACATTTATACGATCACTTTGTCTGTGTGTTTTTTTATAATATGGTGATTACATATTTAAAAAATAAATCTTTGTGGAGGAGATGAGGAAAATAGGTATATACTCTTTTATATTCCAAGATAGTGTTCATTTTTTTTTCATGAGCCAGTGGTCTTTGATAATTTTGGTGCATATGTTTAGACAAAAGCAGTCACAGAAATAGTTAAATTTTGGGTTGGTTCTTTATTGCTCAATGTTGAGACATTCATCTATCTTCTTTAAGATTTGTTATTGTTAAAATCCAGTTCAGAATTATAACCTGGCCAGGCTGACTGAGGTATGTTGTATGGTATTTTAAATATGACTTTTGTGACCTCAGACCATTCATATCATTAACATTATTCAGTTTCTGTAGATTAAAAAAAAAAATAAAATTGTTCTAGAAGGCTAAAATGCTGACAAATTTGAAGAGGAAAAATTTGAGAATACAAGCAATAAATGCAAAATGTCTGGGGTTTTTTGTATGTTCTATGGTGTGTTCTTTTCTTTGTGAATTGCCTATGCATGATAGGAAAAGTTTTCTGAATTCATTGTTTTCTCTAAATATTAAGAGTTAATGGTGTATTTGTGTTTACTCTGGCAGTAAAAAAAGAGGAGGAGGATTTTGAAGAAAAGAAATCCATTAAAAAACGAATCAAAGAATTAAAAGTTTTGGACCCAAAGATTGCACAGAATCTGTGTAAGTAGATGGTGGTTTTATGACAAAGTAATGTATAAATTCCATAAAAATGTCTTTCTCTGTTGTCTGAGTGCCTTGTAACCACTTTTTGTTTGAAGCCTCTGAGAGTATGGGCCTACATGCATGTTGGTGTTAAGCCCAAGCACGTGAGTTGATACAACTGAAACATGTTTAAAAAGACACAGGAAACAGTTAAAGGTTATCCCTTGTTTAAGACTGAGATTATTCTCTTCTGTATGTATTGAGGTACAAGCATAAGCTATGTATCTAATTAACAATCTATATTTTCAACATATTCATTAAGGAATACTGCCTGCCCCTCTACCTGTGTGTCATCCTTGCCCCAGCAAAAAACCCAGTAATGTCTGCAAGATGTCTGGCCATCTCTTACGTACATTATAGCAAGAAGGCAATAATTGGTAATACGCAATAGTATGGAAGTAAAGATGATTAAGTTTTGACAGAGAGGAGTGCTATAAGAGTAAGGTCCCTAAATGCTGGCAGAGATAAAATAGGAAATGATTGGATTATGGTGAAAGAGTAAAGAGTGTTTATAAGAGCATTTTGGTTTTTAATTGTTGACATGGTTTTGGTTTCTCGTGGTTTCTCTTTTTAAGAGAAATCTCTGACAAGACCACTGCAGAAAAAGCTGTAATTGTCACCTCAGCACAATAAACTATAACATCAGTGATTACTCTGCAGAGTAGACTTGTGGCTGGCTGCTTATGGAGGTCTTTTATGATGCTGGATGTTGTCTATAACAAATGGATGGAGAAGTCTGGAATTGTAGGAGAACAGTAATTAAAAAAGCATTTAAAATTGTTATCTCTTACCTATATTTCTTTGCATAGTGTTTGTTAACCTGTAGATGCTATAGCCTGTTTAATTGGTGTTTTGTAAGTAGAAAGAAGATTGTTGCTTTCTTCATTATATGTTGAATCTTTGTTTTAGCAATTTTCCTTGGCTCTTTCCGAGTGCCTTATGAAGATATCAGAATGATGATATTGGAAGTAGACGAAACACAGCTGTCGGAGTCCATGATTCAGGTCAGGAAAATTACAGTTAAATCCCACTATTTCAGGGTAAACTTCTCATTAAATAGAAAACTCTAGCTAACAGGCCTCTTAACATAAACTTTTGGTTTATGTTTTCTCTATGAACTGTAGGGTTTTTTATATTTGTGACAATTTTTTTTTAATGAAAGCAGCTGAAGTTATATTCTCTATTTTCTGCATTCATATTGTCCACACCGAAATTGAGATTTTTCTTTGGTATATATCCAAACAACATTTGATATTCTGTTTCTTTTCTTGTTACTAATTTTTTCTTTATTTCTACTTTGATCTTATCTGCATAAATCTCTTCTGTTCAAAAACTATATGGAAAAAGGTTTGGGGTCTTTTTGTTTATTTTTATTTGTTTCTTTAGTTTGTTGATTGGTTCTTTTCCTCTGTCCTGTTACAGCTGATACAATCTGGGATCTTGCCTTAGGGCATCCACAGTGTCCACCTTTTTTCCCTAGAGTTTATTTGAATAGGGTTTTCCCTTTCCATATTATTTTATTCAAAGCACAGAATCAGTATGATTCTGTGTAGGGACAAAAGAAACTGGAAGTTCCTCACGTTCTTCTATTTAAAATGATATTTAAGGGTTTATAAGTTGAAGAATTAAATAAAATAATTAAAATACATATACTTCATTATAGAACCATGGGAAAAATAATTTGGAAGGGATGTTTGGTGGTCATTTGATCCAAGCCCCTGTTCAAAGCCAGATCAACTAGAACATGTTGCTCAGGGCCTTTTCCCATTAAATTTTTAATATCTCCAGGGCTGGAGACTCCATAGCTTTTCTGTACATCTTTTCTAGTGATGAACTACCTTCATGGTAAAAAACCTTTTCTTGTTTATCTAACTAAAATTTTCATCGCTGCAACCTTGTCCTTCTGCTTCACACTTCCAGGATGAACCTAATTGAGTCTTTTCTGTACCTCACAGTTGGGTACCTGAAGATCACATTAAGTTCCCCTGAGGCTTGTTTTCTTACTGTTCAATAAACCCACTTCTCTCAAGCTTTCCTTGTCTGTCATGTGCCGTGTTCCCCCGTCATCTTCATGGGCAGCCATTAGATTTGCAAAGATATGGGTTTAGGTCAAGATTGTCTCTCTTCTGGGCAGGACTCCTACATACCATGATGAACTTCAAATTACTGCTATTATAAATGTCAAAACATAATTATTATCAATCTACTAATAATGTGTCATAGGTTTCAATTACAGAGGATTTAGATAGTGAGTCACTACAGCATACATGAAAGTGTTAAAAACATAGCTACCATATCTACTGAAACATTCCAGACAGATAAAATTAGATTTGTTTAGAAACGTGCTTTTTGCAGGAATGTTGATTAGTGAAAAAACAAATACAGGTAATAGAGTCATAAAAATAGCATAACTTAAGACTCTTTGAGATTCAAATGTGTGACTCGTACTGCAACGTGCAGCAATTTGTAGTCAAAGAACAAAACACGATAAATTTGTGTGCTTTGTTTTCAAAATAAATTTCCACCATTTTGTCAATGTCAAAATAACGTCCTACTGAACAGGCTGTACAATGTTGAGCATGCTCTTTCCCACATGCAGTTTCACCCTCACTTCTTGTTACTTGGATTTCAAAGATCTTTAACCTCTCTTGAGGTATTTGGACTTCACTCGCCTTTCTTTGAAGAATGAGATGTTTCTCTTAAATATTTGAAGGAACAAACATGAGCCGTCATCTCCAGTGACAGTATATATAATCATTGTATAATCCTCTTTATTTCGTTCAGTGATGCAGTTAATATTGGCACTGAAACTATTACTTTAAGGTTACTGGGATGAACAGAGCAATTTACACCTCTAAGCTGTTTGTTTATTCTAGTTTGCACTTCTCTTTTTCAAGTTTTTCTTCATGCTCAAAAGAAGCATGATGTCTAGCTTTATTTTATTTGAACGAATAGTACAAATTCTCTAAAACAGTATGAAAAGCTGAGAGATAGATTATCATACGCTGTTACATTCAGCTTTGACTCAGATAGTCGATGCTTGCTCTGAGACTCTCACATGCTGTTTGACTTAGCATGGTTTTTCAGTGATAAAAATTTACCTTGTTAACGAAATTAGGTCCTCAAAAACGTAATGAAGCAACCTGTGTATACTAAATAACTACTACATATCAAAATTATGAAAAACTGGTATCTTGATAATTTCTGCATGTTTTATTTAAAAAGGGAAAAACATTTTTTGCATCTAGGCTCTGGGGAAAAACATCATCAAACCATTAATGGGTAGTTAATTAACGGCATACTTCTATGTGAACATGTGATAAATATCCCATCAGTTGTAGTAAGCAAAGAAAAAAACCTTTGAGAACTGTTTGCTATTTTTTTCCTTTTTAATTTCTTCTGTGGATTATTATTGCCATTTTGATGGTATATACCTCAGGATAAATAATGCCTACTTTACTGTGTATTTGAAACAGCTAATACAAATTAGCCCTATTTTATCTCTATGCAATAGTCATGGTTAACAATAATAGGAGATTTTTTTTGACAATATGCTGATTATCTTGTGGCTCTCTTAATTGGTATTAACAGGAGTATATTGAAAGTCACTGTATCCCATAACCTCTCTATATAGTTCTAGGCATGAAAATTGTGGCTAAAGTATTGACAGCATTTGAATCTTTTTGTGTTTTCTTTTGGAGAGGAGGGAACAATATTACTTAACAAAAGGATAAGAGAAGTTTGAGTCAAACGTGAGGTGAGGAATAATAAGACAGTGATGTTAGCAGCTGTTGTGAGCATAAAAGTGATAATGTTCACGGTATCCTGTACGAACACAGTGTGTGTGTGTGTGTGTGTGTATATATATATATATATATTTTTATATATATAGCAAGGCATACTGTTCAAGGATTGCAGGTCCCACATACTGTTTTTTTTTTTGTAAGCATATAAATAATTCAAGACTATAGACTGCATTTTTTTGCAAAGTGATTAAACACTTGCAGGTATAAATCAAATGGAAAAATCAGTAAAATTTAGGCTCCAAATTTACTTTGCATGTTTGGATGCAGTCATTTGTATCAAATTGTTTCATCAGAGTTTCTTGTTTCTGGATAAAACAACCCTGTAATAACTTTGAAAAGGGGACCATCTGAGTTGAAACTCAAAAAAGCACTTAAGACACCCATCTTCCCTTTGGAAGTGATAGAATAATGTGCCTCATTGCTTAAAAAATTTCTTATCCACCTTCACATATGCTTAGGTTGCTAAATAAATTTAACTATCCAGCTGTGTGTCTTCTATTTCTACCTTTTTAAAACCTTCATAAGTATGGGTTATAACCATGCCATGAAAATGTAGTCTTGTGTATTTTTGATTCTGAGACTGGCAAAAGCATACATAGGTTTGCAATCATATGGCTATTTTTATTTATTTATATCAGACACCTTAGATACTATGATACTTCTCCTTTCTAGAAATTTTGTGCCTTCATCAAATCTTTTTACCTAACTTTAAATATTCTTCAGTGTATCCTAATGTCACAGTTTCTGAAGTTGGAAATTTCTCCTTAATACTTCTCTTGTTATGCTTAAGAAGTAAAATGTACCCTTTCTCTCTCTTTCTCTCTCTCTCCCCACCTCCCCTTTCTCCAGTTAGAAATTAAATTTAGTTTGAAAGATGTAAAAACTCCAGAAGTCATGTTGTAATCCACAGTCATAGACTAATTACTGGAACGTTTCTTATATCTTAGTCAAAATTCATTCTCCTGCTTATTCTGTATTTGATGTTCAAAATGTGTTTCATCTCTAGCAGTTCAAAAGCTTTATCTGAACACCATAAAGCTGCTTTCATACCAGCTGCTCCTTCAGTTTTCTTTTTTTTTTTTCCTGATGCTCAGTATTGAAAACATTCATACAAAGCTTGACCTTTTCTATTTTTTTAAAGTTTTGTGGTCAGTTTCTCTATATGTGAAAATTATTTTAACATCAAACAATAACATTTTAATCTCAGTAAAGATTAAGGAATTGTAGTATGTTTAGAGCTAGTTATATGGATGTTGCATATCAAGAAATAAGTGGGTTATGAATTTCTAATCTAAAACGTATGTTTTTACATTCTGTACCCATTCATTTTTGCTCAATGTTACTGATCTAGTGCTGGACATCTTCATCCATAATTAATAAATGTAGTCTCTTTTACCAAAATATTTCCCAAAGGTAATAATGGTAAAGAATATATTTGACTACTGTCATAAATTCTTGATGCTGAAAGTCAGTATGACCATGTCCAAATAAAGCTCCATAACATTTAAGTTTACATTATTATTTTAAGCATCATCATCTATGCATTTTTATTAGTCCTCTTTTCCTACCAAATCCTTATTTGAGCATGAACATTCTGTTGAAGCAGTCTACTCTTTAACTATCATTTACTCTTCCTTTGATTTATTTAGACCTTTGCTCATAAGTCTAGCTTTTCTTATTTGCTGACTTTACTCTCTTGATAAACTACTTCATCCTTACTTTGAATATGACAAAATACTGTAAAACAAATTACTTATTGTACTCCTTAGAATCAAAGTAGGGTTTCGTTTCTTAAAATAGTAACTATTTTTACACTAAAACAAAACAGTGATAAAGGACTGCCTCATGGTTTGAACCCAGAGGGAAGCTGAACACCAGACAGCTGCTCACTTATACCTTCCTCCTCAGGAATAACTCAAAGGCTGCCAGAATCAAGATAAGGACAGAGAGGGATGACTTGCCCATTATGGTCACAGTCAATTTCATTCAAACACCAGAAACAACAGCACTTACACAGAGAGAGTGCGACAGTGAGAAGCATTACCACATCTTGAAAACACCTTTCCCCACCCCTCCCTTCTTCCTGGGCTCAGCTTTGTTCTATCTCCTGCTCCACAGCAGTGTAGGGGGACAGGTGATGGGGGGTTGTGGTCAGTTCCACCACTCCTTCTTCCTTGGGGAGGACTCCTCACACTCTTTCCCTGCCCCAGCGTGGGGCCCTTCTCACAAGAGACACTCTTCCACAAATTTCCACCAAAAGAAGTCCTTCCTATGGGCTGCATCTCCTAAAGAACTGCTCCAGTGTGGGTCCCCCCTGCGTGTTGCTCTCCTCCCAGCACCGAACTACAACAGAATCACAGAATCATCAAGGTTGGAAAAGACCTTGAAGATCGTCTAGTCCTAACATTAACCTGACATTGACAGTTCCCAACTGCACCATATCCCTCAGTACTATGTTGACCTGACTTCACTTCCAGGGATGAGGACTCCACCACTTCCCTGGGCAGCCCATTCCAACACCTAACAACCCTGTAACAATTTCTGTAAAGAAATGCTTCCTAATCTCTAGTCCAAACCTTCTCTGGTGCAATTTGAGGCCATTCGCTCTTGTCCTATCACTTGTTACTTGGTTAAAGAGACTCATCCCCAGCTCTCTGCAACCTCCTTTCAGGGAGCTGTAGAGGGCGATGAGGTCTCCCCTCAGCCTCCTCTTCTCCAGACTAAACACCCCCAGTTCCCTCAGCCGCTCCCCGTACGACCTGTGCTCCAGACCCTGCACCAGCTCCTTTGCCCTTCTCTGGACACACTCGAGTCATTCAATGTCCTTTTTGTAGTGAGGGGCCCAAAACTGAACACAGGAATCGAGGGGCGGCCTCACCAGTGCCGAGGACAGGGGTCAGATCCCTTCCCTGTCCCTGCTGGCCACACTATTGCTGACACAAGCCAGGATGCCATTGGCCTTCTTGGCCACCTGGGCACACTGCTGGCTCCTGTTCAGCTGGCTGTCAATCAACCCCCCCAGGTCCCTCTGTGACTGGCAGGCTCTCCAGCCACTCCTCCCCAAGCCTGTAGCGCTGCTGGGGGTTGTTGTGGCCCAAGGGCAGCCCCCGGCATTTGGCCTTATGGAAACTCCTCCAGTTGGGCTCAGCCCATGGCTCCAGCCTGTCCAGGTCTCTCTGCAGAGCCTCCCTACCCTCGAGCACATCAACACTCCCACCCAACTTGGGGTCATCTGCAAACTGACTGAGGGTGCACTCGATCCCCTCATCTAGATCATCAATAGAGATGTTAACCAGGCGTGGCCCCAAAAATGAGCCCTGGGGGACACCACTCGTGACTGGCCACCAACCAGATTTAACTCCGTTCAACACAACTCTCTGGGCCCGGCCATCCAGCCAGTTTTTTACTCAGCAAAGCGTGTGCCCATCCAAGCCATGAGCAGCCAGTTTTGTGATGAGAATTCTGTGGGAAATGGAGTCAAAGGCCTTACTAAATTCAAGATAGAAAACGGCTATAGCCTTTCCTTCATCCAATAAGCATGTTGACCTATTGTAGAAGGAGATTAGGTTTGTCAATCAGGACCTGCCTTTCATAAACCCAGTCCGGGCTTCCCTAAGAGTTCCAGCCTTTGGATGCAGCCACATGCTCTGGCATGGGGTCTTCCACATGCTGCAGGTGGGCATCTGCTTTACTATTGATATCCATGGTCTGCAGGGGCACAGCCTGCCCTCTCACCACAGGCTGATTTACCACATTTTCCACCCCCCACCTCCTTTCTTCCGTTGACCTTGGTGTTTGAATAGGTATCTCCGTCGTGCTCCCAGGTTCTGCCTCTTAAGTATGTTGTCATAGAGTTGCAGCCACCATTGGTAACTGGTTCAGCCTTGGCCAGAGGTGGGTCTGACTTGGAGCTGGGGGAGCTTTCAAGAAGCTTCTTGCAGGACCCACCTCTATAGCCCCTTCCCCCACTACCAACAAAACCTTGCCACATGTAAACCCAACACTTTACACCCCTTGCCTCTGTGAATCACATATTTAAGAACTATTATTAAAATCCACATTAATTACACAAGACAATATTCACAAACTTAACTCATATCCACATCAAACCAAAACGAGAAAAAAAAATTCTTCACACCAAAATAGAAATGTCATTGCAATACTAAACACAGTGCACACAATTCACTGGTTGTCTGTCCACCACACATACAATGACAGAAATTCCTGCCATTATTCTGCTACCAGGGTTCAATTTGTGTTTTGCTTGTTACCTCTTTGAATTACTGTTCTTATCTCTCATTCCTCTGCCCCACATTGGGTGCCACAACTCTAAGAGCCAATAACCTGACATAATGACCAGCAACTACTAAAGCAATATAATGAATGATTATAACAAATTCATTGTAATATGCTCTGGTCAGATCTGTTGTTATCTCAACAATATGCTCTGGTCAGATCTGTTGTTATCTTCAAGCCCCATGCTGGGTGCCAAAAAGGAGTGCTGTTGTTTAAACATGCTCATCAGCCACACACAACACAGCCCCTTGTTCACCCTCCTCCTTCCAGGGAATGGTAGAAGGAATGGGAGGGCAAAGGGGTCTCATAGGTTGAGGTAAAAACAGTTTAATAATTGAGAAAAAATATAACAATAGCAGTAATAGAAATACAAATGGGTAATGCACAATGCAATTGCTCACCACCCGCCGACTGATCCCCAGCCTGTTCACAGCTAGCCATCCCAAAAAAAAGCCCAAGATCCTGAAACTTCAATTCCAGAATTAAGATAACCCCCCCTGCTTCCCAGATGATCCTCCTCTATATACTGAGCATGATGCTACATGATATGGAATATTCTGTTGGCTAATTTGTTTCCAGGGCTCTGGCTCTGCTTACTCCCAGCTTCTTGTACACTTGCTCACAGGCTGGATATGGGGAGTTGGAGAGTCCTTGATCTCTTAGCAGAAAGTGAAAACATTAGTGTAATATCAGCATTCTTTTCGTACCAAATCCCATACTGAATCCAAAACAGAACACTATTCTAGCTACCAAGAAGAAAATTATCCCAGATGAAACCAGGACAGACTGTCTAGAAAGACATCCATTAAAAAAAAGGCTTGATAAATGCTTAGCTACCATAACGTGACAATTGTTATAACATCTAAGGAAGTTAATTGTAAAAAGTTAAAAGAAGTAGTATTAAATATCGATGCTGCTTTTAAAACACTTTAACACTTTGGATACATTTGTTGTCTAGTTGCAAATTTAGTGTTGTCACTCTTTAACAAGAGGAATATCTATGCTACGATCCAAGTGTGCTATTGCAACTTGAATAAACATCTGGGGTTAGCTTTTAACTATGTAATACAGGTTCTGTAGATAGTATAGAGCTACTGAGTTGTCTGTAGGTTTAGAAGGGTTTTGGGAGTACTAGTTAAAAGAGTTGAATTATTTTTTCATAAATTAGGGAAGTATGTTAAGCAAAGCATAGCTATGACTTTTTAATCTCTGTGGCCTCGGAGAGATAATATGTATATCCTAACTGGCTGAATTACCTGTAGAAGAAATTAGGATCTTTTGTGGATAAAATCAGGGGTTTTTTTTAAGAGTTTCCGATGGAGATCCTCTTCACGAACTTATGTACATGCTTTTCTCTTGAATGTATGTCACCAAAGCTATTTACCTCCAAAATAATAAAACAGATTTTGACTTAACTGAAATGTCTACCTTTTCTATCGAATAATGGGGAAATGGAAGAGTTTGTCTTTCTGATCCTTTCTTGAAATATGGTAGTAGGTAGTGGAAAGGCTGTGTTTGCTAGACCTTATTCAGTGTCAGAAGGATTAAATCTTTATTTCAGTTCAGAAGAGTGACCTTGACAGTAGACTAAGAAGTGTTTCAAGAAAGAACCCAATCTCTCTTTTGTTTTCTTACTGTGGTGGAAGCTTAGCCACTGTGTAACCTGGAATGCAAAAGTCATAAGCTAAGAAAGACAGCAGACTAGAGGGACCCTGACTGTTGCCTAGTAGTTATAGTAGTTGTGTTGGGAAGGGACAAAACTGACGTACTATAAACTATATGCCATAATTAAATGTCTGAGAATCTGTCTACTTCAAGAACCTCAGAATAGCCATTTTTAGTCAACCTAGCTGATTGTAATTAAGAGTAGGATTCAGATGCATAAATGTAAGTGTCTATATATAAATGTAGGTGTTTTAATTGTTCAGGAAGCTCCAGGGAATCTGAGGATTCTTCAGATAAATCAGATGAAGCTGACATGTTTAAATTCCCTTACATGCATTCACAAAAAATTCACTTATGTAAGTGTCCAATCTCCCCATATGGACTCCTCAATTCGCCTGAAACTGAGTCCCACCTCTGAATTCTTACTTCTTTCAAGTTTTCAGGCTAAGTAGTGTGTAGTGAGTTTAAGACTTTGTTTTGAAATACTGGAAAATAAATTATAAATTGTCAAAACACTTTAGCATTAATACTTCTTGCTGTCCTTTAGCTGGATATGTTATGCTTGAAATTCTTGTTCTGTTTGCTGCTTAGTGTTCTCTTTGCATAGTGCCTATCAAGCATATTCTTTCTTTAAAAAGGCATTTTAAAAAAGACTACAGAAATGTTTGTACAATCAGCTAGCAGTAGTGAATCACTTGCTTTTTACGCTCTGTTACATTAATTTCTGTGTTGCCTATTTACATTTTATTGTCTTTAGGGAGGAGTGTTGTCTTTGGAATGTATGGTAATGATTCATATGTAATACCATTTGCCCACAATAATAGAAGCACTATTGAATATGAGATTTTTTAAGCTGATTTTATTTTTCTTGATAGAATTTAATAAAGCATCTTCCTGAACAAGAACAATTGAACAAATTGTCCAAGTTCAAGAGCGAGTATAAAAATTTGTCTGAGCCGGAGCAGTTTGGAGTTGTGGTGAGTTCTTTTGTTACCACTTTTTTTTTGTTCTTTCCTTAAACCTTGATTTTAATGTAATATTACAGAAACAATACTAGCAGCTTCTTCCTAAGTGTGAAGAGGTTCCAGACTGGGGGAATGCTGCCTTTTGATCAGACTTGTAGTGGACATATCCATGCATGTGGAAAGCACGATTGTTGAAATATTGCTGTTGGAATAATTTGGGATTCTCTTTCTCTAAAAAAGTAATTTAGTTTATTAAAAAAAAAAAAAAAAGAAAAAGAAAAAGGTATTCTCTGTGACAAAGTTTCACTAGGAGATATAGAGTTATTTTTGAATTTCCACAGCTAAATTAGTTTGGCTTTACTTTTGTTTGCATTAATAAATCTTAACTTTTTCAGTGAAGTTTTCTAACTGATGTTTTTCTATTCTCCATGTAAATGAGAAGAAAATACTGTAGTTATCATCACATTAACCTATTCTGCCTCCTCCCTCTTGGAGGTTTTGAATAAGTCACTTTTTTTACTCTTTGAATATGGAATCTTATGCATCTGCTTTTCGTCAAAGTTCTCCAATCTCTGTCAGGCTCTCTTGTATCTTTTGTTTCATTCTGGCTGGGAAGTGGACTGAGAACTTCTACTTATTTCCTTAAGGACTTCTGTTGACACAAATATGAATCTTCTCAGTGTGGCTGGTTTTTGGTTTGTGGTGTTTTTTTTCCCTTAAAATTGCTGGTTTATGCCTTATTTTTTGCTGTTCTTTTCAAATGAGGAGAATCAAATTTAAACATGCAGTACAAGACTTTCAGGTTTATCTTTTAGGTGAGTAATGTCCTGCAGTTGTAGTATTTAAGAGATTTCAGAGATCATAAGTTAATTTGCTCTAAAGTGATTAAGGGAACGACTAAACAGTCTGACTCCCAATGAAGAGCCTAAGTAGTGAATAAATTGATAATTACTACTAGTATGATAATAAAAAATTCTATAATTGAAACCTTCTTTTATCGTTCTGGCTTTGAATTCAAAGTCAAGACCTGGTACTCCGAAAGAACCAGCTCGACACTTAGTGAGATACTGGCATGCTGTGACTGTTACAGTATTGTATGTTTTAGTTCAACCCAAGTTAATTACTTTTGTTGTCAGCTTAAAGACATTGAGGACACGACCCTATAAACATTTCAGGTTTCATTCACGAGTGAGATTGCGGGATTTTTTGGGGTTTTTTTTTTTGGTAGTGACTCTATGGGTTGCTTTTGTGGTTTCTGCAATTACCCTCTTATTTTTAAGTTACTTCCCACTTTTATGGTTTTTGTTCATTCAGCAGTAAGTATAAAATAAATCCTTTATTACCCTTATCTTCTCTTCCAGACTTTAGGTTTTGTTTAGATAGACTAATTTCTTGTATGTTCCTTCTTTCACTTACTCCAAGCTGATGTCTCAGAACACAGATACTATCACCTATTACTGTGGAGTGGTTTTTTTTTCCTTTGGCTTGCATGTATCCAAGAACAATTTTATGAAAACTATATTAAATCTGTTCATCTTATTAGGTGCTTTAACTTAACTGCGTAGAATTATCTTCAGTTGATGTTGTTTTGAATGCTGCATTTTGTTGCTCAGATTCTTGATGAAGTATGGTTCTGCTTGCTGAAATTTAAATATGAAATTGCATTTTATTTTACTATAGTTCTTGTTTTGTACTTGGTTTTACTCAGTGCAGTAAAATTCCTCCTGAAATAATGTAACCTTCATATTAATTTTTTTGAGGTTTAATTGATTATGACTGATATTGGGTAATACATCCTATAAAACTTGTTAATGATGAAGATTTGCTTTGTGTTTAGAAATGAGTAGTCTCATGATACCACACTTGCAACGTGAGACCCATCTGAGATGAATGGGATCTCAGCTAGATGACCATTTTGGTAGCTGACTGTTGACAGAAGGTTGGTTTTTTTGGTTTTAAAATCTTTTCCCTAGTGCTTTCTCCAATGGGCAGTATAAATACTGCTTTAGGACTTAAAGCATTTAGCAGTGTTGATCTGTTTTGCAGGTAGTTTGTTCCTACTGTGAAAAAAACACTGGTTTACAGAATATTTTTTCTCTAATTTTGGGTTTAGTCTGTGTTGTTCTATCAAATAAACAATGTTTAAGGAGTAGATCATTTGTTTTCAGTGATGTTGATGTAATACTTACTAGTTAGATTTATTAATCATGACTGATAACTTTAAATGCAGTAATCTGTTTAAGGGATTAATGTTTAATTTTCTTTGACGAACTATTGACATGCCACTGTTCAAGCTTTGCTGCTGAGAGCAGATGTAGATTTGACTTTCATCTGAAACAAAACCCAATGTGTTTGCCATCAACAATGATTCTTTGCATTTCAGACATCTTTCTCCAAAGGCTTTTGTTATTATATAGTCTTATCTAGCCCTAGAACATTTCATTATACCTAAAGTATACAATATAGTCTATTTCTTTGAGTCTTTTACATAAGAGATGATAAAGGTGCTGAAACACTAAATCATTTTGCTAATGTATTGGGCACAGAAGAAATGGAGTTCTTGAAGTATATTGATTAAATATCTTTCTACCACACAAGTAAGATGACAATGCACCAGAAAACTGTTGCATTCCTTTTTGAATTTCTTTGTGATTCTTACTTTTTTTGGTCCTTGCAGTCAAGAAATAAATTTGAAACAACTGGTAAGGTTTTGAATATTGTAAGAATATGGTAATTAAACTTGCATCGCGTATCTTACAAGTTTTTTAAGTGTTCTAGTGAAAGAAGAGTTATAATCTCAGAAATAATAAATTAGAAATACATTTTAGGATGTCAAACAATAGTTTAGAATTTTTAAAGGAGAAAAATAGAAAGTACTAACTAAATGGTGATTTATCCCAGTTTAAGAAGATATCTTTAATAAATAAAAGTTGAGATCCCGAAATGTATAGGGGTCCAAGAAGGTGGGATGCTCTTTAAGAAGAAAGTCTTAGTGGCACAGGAGCAGGCTCTCTACAGGTGCTCTAACAGAAGCTGGTGACAGAGACCACCCTGGCTAAAGAGCGAGCTTTGGCTGCAACTCAGGGAGAAAAAAAGAGTTTACAGCCTTTGGAAGAAGGGGCTAGCCAATCACAGTGATTACAAAGAGGCTGTGAGGCTATGCAGGGTGGAAATCAGGAGGGCTAAAGCCTAGCTGGAAATTAATCTGGCTTCAGCAATCAAGTACAACAAGAAATGTTTCTGTAAGTATGTCAGTAGCAAAAGAAAGAGCAGGGAGAGTCTACATCCCCTACTAGACACAGGAGGAAACATGGTAACAAGTGATGAGGAAAAGGCTGAGGTGCTTAATGCCTTCTTTGCACCAGTCTTTAATAATGACTAGTTGTACTGAGGGAATCCAGCCTCTTCAGCCAGAAGACAGGCACTGGGAGAACAACCCCCCTGCAATCCAGGAGGAGACAGTCAGTGACCTGCTGCATCACACAGACACAAGTCTATGGGTCTGGTTGGGATACCCCTGAGGGTGCTGAAGGAGCTGGCTGGGGTGCTCGCCAAGCCGCTTTCCATCATTTACCAGCAGTCCTGGCTGACCGGGGAGGTCCCGACTGATTGGAGATCAGCCAATGTGATGCCCAACTATAAGAAGGGTTGGATGGATGATCCGGGAAATTACAGGCCTGTCAGCTTGACATCAGTGCCTGGGAAGCTGATGGAGCAGCTCATCCTGAGTACCATCACACAACACATGTGGGACAACCAGATGCTCAGGCCCAGTCAGCATGGGTTTATGAAAGGCAGGTTCTGCCTGACAAACCTGATCTCCTTCTATGACAGGGCGACCTGCTTATTGGATGAGGGAAAGGCTGTGGGTGTTTTCTACCTTGACTTTAGTAAGGCCTTTGACACCATTTCCCACAGCATTCTCCTGGTGAAACTGTCTGCTCATGGCTTGGATGGGCACACGTTTTGCTGAGTAAAAAACTGGCTGGCTGGCCGGGCCCAAAGAGTTGTGGTGAATGGAGTTAAATCCAATTGGCGGCCGGTCACGGTTTTGGGCCACTCCTGTTTAACATCTTTATTGATGATCTAGACGAGGGGATCGAGTGCACCCTCAGTCAGTTTGCAGATGACCCCAAGTTGGGTGGGAGTGTTGATCTGCTCGAGGGTAGGGAGGCTCTGCAGAGAGACCTGGACAGGCTGGAGCCATGGGCTGAGGCCAACTGCAGGAGTTTCCATAAGGCCAAATGCCGGGGGCTGCCCTTGGGCCACAACAACCCCCAGCAGCGCTACAGGCTTGGGGAGGAGTGGCTGGAGAGCCTGCCAGTCACAGAGGGACCTGGGGTGCTGATTGACAGCCGGCTGAACAGGAGCCAGCAGTGTGCCCAGGTGGCCAAGAAGGCCAATGGCATCCTGGCTTGTGTCAGCAATAGTGTGGCCAGCAGGGACAGGGAAGGGATCTTACCCCTGTCCTCGGCACTGGTGATGCCGCACCTCGATTCCTGTGTTCAGTTTTGGGCCTCTCACTACAAAAAGGACATTGAATGACTCGAGCGTGTCCAGAGAAGGGCAACGGAGCTGGTGCAGGCTCTGGAGCACAGGTCGTACGGGGAGCGGCTGAGGGAACTGGGGGTGTTTAGTCTGGAGAAGAGGAGGCTGAGGGGAGACCTCATCGCCCTCTACAGCTCCCTGAAAGGAGGTTGCAGAGAGCTGGGGATGAGTCTTTTGCACCAAGTAATAAATAATAGGAGAAGAGGGAATGGCCTCATGTTGTGCCAGGGAAGGTTTAGACTAGATATTATGAAACATTTCTTTACAGAACAGGTTGTTAAGTGTTGAAATGAGCTGCCCAGGGAGGTGGTGGAGTCCCCATCCCTGGAGGTGTTTAAGAGTTGGGTTGACATAGTGCTGAGGGATATACTGTATTTGAGAAGTGTTGGTCTTAGGTAATGTTTAGAGTAGATCATCTTCAAGGTCTTTTCCAAACCTACTTGATTCTGTGATATTTCTAAAAT